GGGGGGGAAGAAACATTTTTTTATAAATATGAATTTAACTTTATTGTTTAAACAGATTAGGGGATGTAGGGTGGCGGGGGAGGGGGGAGGAAGAGAAGGAAGGTAGTGAAGGCCTGGGCAATAGAGATTGGAGTGCATTCTCTAGTCGCCAAAATCTACTAAATGACTTTTTTTGTTTATTGACAAATGACACCAACTGCACCCATTACGTTGACAGATCTTGACGTATGCATGCCTAATTTCCCATTTCCAACAAATCCTCTCTCTAACACGAGTTTGCACCAACTCATGCCTTGCAGCAAACTGCTTCCTCCTCCTCCTCCTCCGTCCCCTTCCCCTCTCCTCTTTGGCATGAAATTGCAGAAGGAAAAAGTTGTTTGCTTTTCAAATCCCCTAGCTGAAATTTAAAGTACGATAGGATGGAATTGTAAGAAGGGTTAATTATGCCTCTCAGGGAGTTGAATTTTCCATGCTGCATAATTCATTTCCCTCTCCTCTACCCCCATCCTCTAATGCAGCACATTTTTAAAATACACTGTTTATTTCCCATGAATTACTGAAAGTATTTTTTTGTTGGTTTTGCAATGTTTAAGTTGTGATTAGGAAGGATATTTATGCAGATTTTTTTGCGGGTGCTGCAACACAGCCCTATTCAGGGTCATATCGTCTGTCGTGTCCAGCATCTTTTTGTGTCGCCTTCGATTTTATCGCGCCGAAGTAGAAAGCTGCTTCTGTACCACCTACTTGGTGGTGAACCGGGCTTAAGTGCGATTGCTCGGCCCGAAAGTATCCCAATCCATGGAGGGTTGCGTTGCATTAGCTTAATTAGCTTTGCGTAGACCTTAAAATGAAAGAAAGGCAGAAGTTGAGATTACCAGGGCGGGCGGAAACTTCAAACTCTGGCTAATTAAGAAGGCGGTCTAATGGATGCGAGATACGTGGGTAAGTAAGGTGATTTTGTGTTGAAAAAGCGCGCTACGGAAAGGCACAGAGCAGTCTAGACATTCACCAATGGCGTAAGATGGAGCGCAGCTACCTTTGACCCTGGGAACAGGCCAAAATTTGTCATCTGTTCAGTTGAAACGTATTGCAAAGTTGCTTGGCGCTAAATTCAAGTCCCAAACTTTCTGCTCTATGAAAGTCTAATAAATATCTTTTAATTGCCTTTAGTTACTCTACGGCTGTGCCGCTTATTTTACACTTTTATAACTGTTTTATTACAACTACTTTGAGGAATTTAGAATTCAAATAGTCAATATCTTTTAACATGTATTAGCGTTCATGAGGGATTTTCGATGCCTCGTTTTAATAAGAATAGGAGTAAAAGTGTTAAAAGTTTTTCCTGTGCAAATTTCTCCCAAAAAACGGCTACTGACTACTGGATGTCAATTTTGATGATTAATTTGGCATTCGATTTTTGTTTCCTTTTTTCAACCCTGAGATTTCGAAGAAGAGTTTAGTCAAACAATTAAAATTCGCTTAGATTTCGGCTCTGGACCAGAATGATAGGCGACACAGATCATTAGGTCTCACGGGGTTTTGTTTTGCTTAACTAAGGAAGGCGCTGTAAATTCCCTAGGACTCAGTCACAATTTTTAAAAAGGGCTTTAAAAAATGGCTTGATGATACTGAAGGATTGTTGGGTTACCAGAGCAGAAAATTATTTATAAACTATTCAAAGGTGACTTCGATACGTGAATTTTCATTTCATAATTACATAAACCAATCTTCTGCGGCGTTTCGCATCAACTAATGAAGTTTCCATCCAATTTTTCTAGAAATATACTTGATTAATCACTTTAAAAGAGTCTAATATTTTTCTATAATTAAAAGTGATGAGTTTAGCCAGACAGCACATTAAAATTATCACGCTTTCCAAGAGTTGTCCTCCTGTCGCTTCGTAAAGCTCTGTTATTTTGTAAAAATAACACATTACCTCATTGGCACTTCATTCCAAATAGCAGACTAATGTCCCTTTTCAAGTCTACAAGGTATCAGACAATTGTATAGCAAATTTTTTCACCCACTTTTAGCATGACGCATTTATAAGTCTGGCAATCTTTCATTTAATGGCAGTTGAGTCCAAATACTCCCAAACATCTTTTAGTCCACTTTATTTTGGAATCCGGAATTGTTTGTTTAAAAGTAGAGGGATCATTTTACGACCAGCGAGGGTAATATGGCTTGGGAGTGGACTCCATTTCCGTATTACCTGCTGATGTTATAACAATTAGGCAAGGAGAGGAGAGCTTTAGGTCTAATGCAATTTGTTTGGCAGAAGCCAAACTGATTATTAATGAGATTGCATTGCTAGGCCTCATAATGCGTTGCCATAGCGATTGACAATAGGAGCATCGTAATCTGGAAAACGATTCGTCTGTTAATTTATTGTACCAAATACAAACCTTCACTTTGTGTACCTTAGAGGTGTCATAAAGAAGGAGGAAGACATAAGGTTTCTCTTTTGCATCTTCTCGTGCAATTTGGAGGTGTTACGAAGGGATTTATTGAATAAGATTGATGTTTTTGCTGTTAATATAGACACCACCGGCATTCGAATGTGGCGTTTTACGACTTCTGCAATTCTACTACAAAGGCAACCTGAAGTCTGCTTTTTTTTTTCTATGTCAATCAACATCTTTCATAGGTTTAAGTTTAATTTATTCACCACTTACATTTGCATCAAATGTGGAGCAAAAATTAGGTTAGTAGCTTATACTATCTACTTTGCATCACCTGTCTTCCTCTCTGTCCAAAATGTCAAGAAAAGCAACCATAATCATCATTGCTTGTAATTTGAAGAAATGAGAGTGATTAGTTAAAGCACTCAAATGTAGTGTTGATGAAGGCAGTAGCCTTTGAGAACGTGCAAACTGTCTTATTGATGAGTTCACCACCCTGACAAGGGGCAAAGCTGATGGCCGGGGGCGGGGGGGTCTCAGTAGGCCGCGTATTTGTTGTCATTAGGCGCTAGGCTGGAGGCGTCTCCACTAGACACAAAGCGCCACTTAAATTCACTTACTGAAGGTGCATTTAAAGGGAAGATGTTGGTAAAATATCTCCATCCTCTCCCTGCCTCCCCTCTCCCCCTTGACAGTTTTGCATAGCACATCATCACCCTTGTTTTAACGACAACGGTCTGGAAAGTGGTGTTGCGGTGACAGTAACTGGGACATGTAGGGGATGAGTAAACCTCTCACCACCTCCCCTACACCTGAGGATTTGAAACTTGACCTTGAAAGTCCTCCTCTGACTAATGTATAGCCAAACCCGGAAGTCACTTACGCCATCTCTCCATACAATGCACACTTCAGGCAGGCTTCACTTTACCCGAGTGATGCTGACCCCACAGCGCAGGTGGTAAACACGCCATTTTACTGCACAACTACCAACAAAGCGGATACACATATATCGTCAAAATTCACCATCTCTACGAGAGATTTGAAATCACAAAAGCATAATTAATTATGATAGTGAAAAAAATGAGAAGAAAAGAAAAAAAAACTTACTAATTGTCATGATGATGGAGGTGAGACGTGGTGTTAGGGGAGA